TGATCCACCTAGACCAGCAGCAGGTACGGGAGACCCTCACGTAACAACTCTTGATGGTAAGAAAGCCACTTTCAACGGAGCTGGGGAATTCCTGATGGCGTCTTCCATATTACACAAATTGACCTTCCAAGCTCGTATGGAGGTGTATCGTGACACCCTGGCAACGGTTTACACAGCATTTGTTATTCATACCAATAACTCGGCGAAAGTCCAGGTGCAGATGTCAAATATCAATGAGACACTGGTTCTTATCGATGGTGAGCCTTTGCGGCTATCTTCCAGTCCACTTAAAGTTCATTATCTAAATGGGGTGCGCGTAAGTGCGAACGACGATTTATCTGAAATTAGGTTCGTTTTTAATGTTGGTATTGCTGTTATCATCTACGTAAACTCCGAAGTCATGTCTTTTATTGCTCAACTTGATACAAGGTTCAATGGTCAAGTCAAGGGACTTCTTGGTAATCTGAATGGAGAACCGCACGATGATCTTCAGTTTCCAAATGGTACCATCATGAACAGTAATTCCTCTCTACAGGAACTCCATAAATACGGTCTAGAATGGCTTGTGGCTGCAGAGGACTCCATTTTCACATACATATCACCTTATGACTACACTACGTACCATTTTCCGGAATTTACTCCAACTTTCGACGTCCCTGATCTTGATGGTGTTAGTCAAGAAATCAAAGATGTGTGTGGCAATTCCTTTGAATGTGTGTTTGATGCAGTGACGACCGGCAGCCTGACATTCGCAAACAATACCCGAGTGGTTTCGGCTACCCTTGATATCATTCAAAAATCCTCTGTCAAAATTGTTAGCTGTGGTTTTCCGGGAGTTGTAGAGAACGGTATAATGCTTGGACATGTGTATCTGGTTAACTCAACCGTGGAGGTCACTTGTGAGAGAGGTTACGTCTTAGAAGGCTCATCTAACCTAACCTGCTATGGGGACGGCCGTTGGTCGGCCGATCTTCCTCGATGTGAAAGTCCTGGTAAAGGTCTTAGCACTTCAATTATATTGGGAATTATTTTGGCCGCATCGATTATTCTTGTTGCTTGTGTTGCAATTGGCATTTACTTGAAGAAAAAATAGAAGTGTGGCTTTCTTGTGGCTTGTGACCAACCAGCTCGTAATATATGAGCCGTCAGTTAGAATTTTTAATTTTTTTTAATCCTTCATATCATTATTCAAAAAAGACACACATATATATTAAAAACGAAAGGAATGTACGTTATATTCATTAAACGGCAAATCTTAAACCAAGGACATATTTGAAAAAAATAATACTGTAACAATTTAAAGGAAATTAACAAATTTTGACTATTCAATTCTGCGTTGAAAATTAATTGCTTTTCTTTCTGTATAGCCACGTATCTTACAACATTTAGAACTAAATAATTGTTAAGGTACAAATTTAGTTAGATATTTGGAATCGTTTAGTCTAATCTGCATTTATAAATTTAAAGTATTTTGTAGCAATTATAATAGTAATTTCATACCGACAAACTTTGTCAGTATAAAATGGACTGTAAAGTGAAAGATATTTTTCTAAACGTTTTATCCATATTAGATGAGCATACTTACAATTACGCTATGACAAAAAAATACGTTTCGCATCCCCAGTTATTGCAGTTATACTATAAAAATACATTTGTAGCAATTATTCTATGATTTATTCTGTATTGGAGCCACTGTAGATTTGTTTGCCCTAAACATTTAAAAGGCAGGATATACATGCGTTTCAATTCCTCGATTGTCCTGTTTATCTTGATTTTTTCTTTCCATTTTATCATGCTTTTTTGGAATAATAAAGTCTGAAGAAACAATTTTGTTATAAAAATGCTTTCATTCCTTACATTTGATATCATATTGTTTCTTAAACTGTTTCCATATCATCAAGGCATTTTTATCTGGTCTTAGTAAGTCGTTTATGTAAACTACACCCTTTTCATACCAACTCTTGCAAATCACCACTTTATCATCTTTTGTTATATTACTATTTCCCCATAGACCCGTACTTAAGATATCTGTACTGTTTAACGGATATTTTTTTTTCTATTTAATTCGCACCAAGCCATAGCTTCATTCCAGAAAGTATATTTTTTAGTAGTTAAAATCATATGTGTACGTTAATATACCACACATTTTGGGAACAAAAAAAATCGGTCAAAATATTCCTTTTTCCAGATGATGTCAGATACCTTCTGATCCACGAAATTTTCAATGCTTAAAAACGCTCTTTTATTGGAACTGTATTAATAATTACCACCTTTATTTTTGATTTTACATATTTGTTTTCTATTTATTTTTCGGATGATTTCCAAATAAATTTAAAAAGCAGGGTATTAAGCTCAGTATTGAATGATTTACAGGGATTTGCAATGGTTAAAATTAAGCGATTTATCTTTGGAAGAATTAATGATTTCACAATGGTCTCAGAGGAGTTAAATATCTTTTTGACCACTGTGCTAAAGATTTTCGTATGGATAAAAGGCAATTATTATAAGGTTAGGCGAAATCAGTACAAACATTAATGCCAAGTAAATTAAATTTTCCATCATCTGGCCGTTGAAAACCCTTTTCTTCGCACAAGTTTATTTGACATTTATTCCTACTTCCAATCCAGACAGCACATGGTTTATTGATAATTAACCTTATTTAACAAAGAGATCTTATGACATCAGTCCACTTGATTAAATAACTCCACCATATTCCCTTCAGATCCGTATAGGTGTAAAGTAGCCTCAGCAGCATCTTTTCAATTGATCTTATGTTTGCTAGTAATACCTCTTTGCATAAAAGAAATAAGTATGGTGAGAGTGTTCGCTTGGCGACATCCTGTATTTACATTTTAAAAAAAAGGGTGATGGATAACCATTGAAGAGAACTTGATTGACAATTTTATACATTTTCTTTTTACAATCTGGCGAGTCGAATGGCCGAGCGGTTAGAAGGGGCGTCGCAAGCGATAGCCATAATATCGGCGCTGGTTCGAACGGCACGCTCGCCTACGGTTCTGGTGGTAGAACAAGTCTTCTGGGATAAGGATTATAAACCGTGAAATGGCTCATGTGCACTATAAAGAATCCAGTACATCCTTCAAGATGAGTAGGGGGATACTCCGGTGTACTGGAACAGTCAGCCCCTGCGGTGGACGACGAGAGTTACTGGTACCAGCTTACCGGGTAGAACAGACACAAAGGGACCCTTAAGGTCTGTTTATAATAATAATAATAATAATAATAATAATAATAATAATAATAATAATAATAATAATAATTATTATTATTATTATTATTATTATTATTATTGTGATTTGTTGGTTTTTCTGTTTTTTAAACATAAAATTTCAGTTGATATTTTACCTCAGCCTCAATTTGTACTTATTCTGTTCTTATTCGTACTATTTCTGTTTTTAAGCAATTTCAGCCTCTGTGTTTTTATCAAATAAAATGTGTTCGTATAACGAAACAAAAAAAAATTGTATGATTTAAAATGTAGGGTTTTCAACAAAATCAACTAAAATATCTTATATTTTGAAGGTTTGCACTATTTTTTTTTTGCAAATCGCCTGCACATGATCCCTGGTCAGCACCACCCCTCCCCCGCCAACAGATCACTATATGATAATTTAAATGCGTGTGTATATACACAGAATTGCAAAAAATCCGAACGAATATAAATATTCATTGGATGGTGAGGGGAGAATTTGTCCTCAATCAACTCTAGCCTTGTCCAGGAATATGTAATTTTATTTCTCGACACATGTATTAAAGTATTTTTTACACTTCGGCAAAAATTTCTTGTCTGCAATATCGCCAACCAATTGAATAAGCCAAATATTGTATACGATTAGTAGGCATACTGTCAAAATGGTATAAGGCCGTAACTTACGCTTCATTTTAACTTGAACATTATCAGTTTATTAGGCAAAACAGCCTACTGTTGGATCCCCTGATTATTTCAAATGAGGAGCACATTGTTTCAAATGAGTAGTGTTTCAAGTGGTGGGTAGTAGCGCACTGTTTTAAAGGCACAATTTTTAAATAGGTAGCATACTGTTTCAGGTGGATAGCTCTCTGTTTCGAATGGATATCACAATGTTTCAAATGGAAAGTGTTTCAAGTGGTGGGTAGCGAACTGTTTTAAATGAGTAGCACATTGTTTCCAAAGGACAGCACAATGTATCAAATAGCACTCAGTGTTTCAAATGGGTAGCACACGTTTCTAATGGATAACATTCGTTTCAAATAGGTAGCACAATGCTTCAAAAGAATAACACAATGATACAAATGGATAGCACACTGTTTAAATTGAGAGCACTCGTTACAAATGGGTAGCACAGTGTACCAAATGGGAATCACAATTTTTCAAATGTATAGCACAGTGTTTTAAACAGATATCACTGTGTTTCAAATGGGAGCACAATGTTTCCAATTGGTAGCACATTCTTTCAAATTGGTAGCACGGTGTTTTAAATAGGTAGCACTGTGTTTCGAATGGGTAGCACAGTGTTTAAAATGGGTAACACATATTTCAAATGGGTAGCAGTGTTTCAAATTGATTGCACAATGTTTTAATTAGGTAGCATACGACTTCATTACCTCAACTTGAAATCACACTAGATAACTAGGTAGTTTTCACCGCAGAACATTAACCTTAACTTTAACGTCAGTACCCGCCATGCAACGCGATTGATCCTTCCTTTTTTAAACAAATTGAAATAGGCATGTGCAAACCCGTAATTAACGTACGTCGAACACTTAAGTTCATGGAAAACGTACTCAGCAACGCAAAATGATTTAATTATGACGTCATCCGTTAACGTTAATGCTAACGTCGTACGGCGAAAACTACCTATTCTTACTGTTGCGACGTTATTTCAATTAAAGAACATACTACTGTATTTCAATTTGAGCACACTATTAAAAAGATGATCGGTTATCTTACCTTAGTGTTTGATTTTGGGAGGTTTAATTTATTTTGTGTTGATGAAAATGTCGAATTAAGAAAACCCCACACACATGTCGCAAGAGCGAATTACCTGATCTGAATGAAACTTTCCGATAAGCTAAACCAAGTTACAAGGAAGAAGTTATTTAACTTTGGTGATGACCCTGATTGGGGAATGAATTTGTGTGGGTCATTTAAAATGCTAATGTCTCAGACCTTAAATATCTAAAAAAAAAACAAAACAAAAAAAAAAACAAAGGTTCGAAACGAAACTGTCAAGAATAGTTTGTTATGTGCTGTCTCTTATACACATCTAGATGTGTATAAGAGACAGCGTTACAAATGGGTAGCACAGTGTACCAAATGGGTATCACGATGTTTCAAATGTATAACACAGTGTTTAAACTGATATCACTGTGTTTCAAATGGGAGCACAATGTTTCCAATTGGTAGCACATTCTTTCAAATTGGTAGCACGGTGTTTTAAATCTGTCTCTTATACACATCTAGATGTGTATAAGAGACAGGCTATGGGGACGGCCGTTGGTCGGCCGATATTCCTCGATGTGAAAGCCCTGGTAAAGGTCTTAGCACTTCGTATTATAGTATATTCAAGTAATTGAATTTGAAGAAAAGGACACTGCCCTCTATGACTTCGATAAAAAGCATAAACTTTATGACCTTTGATTATTTTACTGTAGACCATGCCAATTACGATATATATATATATATACTGAAATTTGGAATTCATAACTGAACTTGTAACGTCGATATAAAGCATAAAAAATATGCTTTCTGATTAGTTTGTCCTACGACATTGCGTCCTTAAATGCGAACTTTCAAAAGAAAAATTACCAAAAAAGCTAACAACCAGAATACAAATTTAGCAACATTTGTCTTAAAATAGAAAAGAAATGAATTTAATTTAAAAACATGGCATACTAATGTAAGATAAATTGGTTTACAAACAAAACACACTATTTAAATTGGAAATTCAATCGGTATACTACTGTGCATCCATAATCGATCTGCATGGGTTTTAATAATTGAAACGGCTGTTTTATAGAGTTTTTTAAATACAGTACCACAAAATGCTAGTCTGATGACGTTTAAAATTTCACAACATGAAAAAGATGAAAAACTGCAAAAAGTAATTTAAGTTAGCTCCAGAATAAATTTAATAATAAATCCATAAAAAAATCGTTCGTCATCAAAAAGTAAAATTAGACCAATCCTTTGTAATATAGAAAATGGTCTAATTTTGCCAAAGGTATGCTTGTTTATATTTTTATAAAAGTTATACAAGAGCAAAGAAGTCGTGTAAATACAACGATTTAACTAATTTCGGCAAAAAATCCAGCAAAACAAGCATATTTAGCTAATTCTAGTACAATTGAGCTAAAAATCGTCAAAATTGATGAAAATATCTAAAAATAGGAATCCGTACTGGGCATATACAGTTCACAATGACGATATAGCGTGTTAAGAGCTGGAAATGAAATGGGAGTATGTAAAGAGTTGCTACAATAAATACTGCGAGAGAGGTGATTGGAGAAAGAAAGAAGAACAGTAAACCATGGATAAGCACACAGAGCTGGAAGCTAATAGAGGAAAGAAGGGAGATAACGGTTAAGAAGGAAGCAGCTCAATCACAGAGACTGAAGGAGAAATGGCAAACAGAATACACAAGCAAGGATAGAGCAGTGAAAAGATCTACAAGACAAGACAAAAGGAACTGGGCTGACATTATAGCGAAAGAAGCGCAAGGGGCAGCTGAAATGGGCCAAATTAAAACGGTATATGAAGCGACTAGAAAGCTATGCAATGACTTTCCAAAAAACGATTGGAATTTTAAAGGACAAGAATGGGAATA